CCTAAATAGAAGCCTCTGCTGCCCAATATGCCCTAACCTGACCCAGAAAGGCACAGATGCCATGGAACAAATACGGCTTTGGGAGAGTAGAATCTGTATCTTTTGGTTAGGAACTGTTTTGGCTTCAAATGATAGAGAACCTGGCTAAAGCAGCATCAGCACTAAAGATGTTTGCTTATGCACACAGTAAGTCAAGGAAAAGAGGTTTGAGGTCTGATGTCACTAAGGAGAGAGTCACACTCTGCCCATCTCTCTACTCCATAGTCCTCTGCTCACTGACTCTTTACCTTCAGGAGCGGCCTCATGGTCTCAAGATGGCTGCAGAACCTCCAATTATCATCACTGAAGGCAGAAATTGTTGGCTGGCATGTGTTGGAGTCTGGGCATGGAGAGAATTCTCACCCCCCCTTTCACCTTCTACAAGAAACAAAATCTTCCCCAGAAGCAACTATGCAGATTCCCTCTTGTGTGTTATTGGCCAGATAAAGGTCATATACCCACCCCTATGGCAAGGAACAACCTGAGATTCCCTGAGATAAAGCCATCTTCACTGATAAATACTTGAGCAAGTCAAGGCTCTGTCCAAAAGGAATGCGTACAGGTGGGGCTTGCACAATCTCTACTATTTACAGGATGACAACTCTGGGCAAATTGCTCAGCTCCTCTGAGCCCCTGCTTCCTCTTCTGTAAAATGGTTACAGTAAATAACTACTGTTTCTGCCCTCCCAGCATTCATTTCCTGTTCTCATGAAATACTGTGATTTCCTTTAGGGCAGTGGTACACAGCACAGTAGCCTCAGCACTACCTGGGAACTTGTTAGAAATGCAAATTCTCAGCACAACCCAACCTTTTGATTCAGAATACACTGGGGCTGGCGCTTGGCTATGTGGAAAAGTGCATCTGTGTACCCTTGGCTTATGTGTGGAGCATATAATACCGTATTAAAATTGCCTGTTTGTTGGTCTCTAGAAATAGTAGCAACATAAATTATATAACAATAGCTAGTTGTTACCATGTGCCAGGCCCTGTGGCAGCACTCCACATGCATTATTTCATTGATACTCGCAGTGGGCATGGAAAGAAGAACCGATTGCCTCAGATGCAGGAGTGGTCAGCAGGCAGCTTCCAGCTATTATCCTTCAGGGGTCAAGTCATAGGTAGGAGAATGGCATTGTATCCAAGTGCATGCCCTCCCAGGGGTGGCCCACCAACGACTGGGTAACGTGGGATTATGAAGGCCCAGTCATTTCGATTCAACTTGGGACAACTCTGCAGGCCATTATAGCTGCAAAACTCCCTGTAGAGTCAGCTAAGGCTGTGATCAGGGCTGCCTCTCAGTCCCACTTCTCCCTCTGCCCTTCCCCGCCACCTTCCTTTCCCTCTGCAGAGGTTAACTCCAAGGGCATGCCTTAGTAAAGCTCCTATATGCGCAACTGCATCTCAGAGTGTTTCCTGGGGATTCTGACCAATGACAGTGCTCACAGCAGCTCCATGACATAGGCACCGTTGTGAGCCCACTTTGCAGATGAGGACACTGAGGCTCAGGGAGGTGCAGCAAGGGGGTCCCAAGCCATGCCGATGGTAAGCAAGGAGACATGGGGTGGGAAGTCATCAAACTTCTCAATAGAGAGGTGGAATAATCTGGCTCTAAAAGGGGCCTTTGGCTGCTGAGTGAGGAAGAATGTAAGGGGGCTAGGGCAAAAGCCGAGCAGTGGGGCAACCACTGCTTGCAGCAGTACAGGAAGAGGTGAGGGGACTCCCGCTGGTAGCTGGATTTTCTTATCACTGTGTCTCCTTCAGAGGCAGACACAGCCAAGGTGCTCAATAAATACCTGGTGAATGAATGAGTGAAGTGCGAGGATGGATGACAGATTTGAACAGGAGGGAAGTAGGCACCCCCACATCTGTCTTGCTCATTACATTCTGAGTGATTAGCACGGCGCCCACCACATGTGGATGCTCAGCTAAGGCGTTGAGTGAATAAATGAACAAGTTCAAGAGGGAGGTGGGAAGAAAAGAGGCAAAGAGGAGGAGGGAGAGGGAGGAAAGGGAGTGGTGGGATGGAGGGAGAGAGGGGAGGAAGTGGAAGGGGAGGAGTCGGAGGGAAGATTCCTGTTTACTTTTTTTTTTTTTCTCACCAGGAATGACAGTAACTTGCGACCTCTGGTGGCAAAAGAAAGCCACTCCTCTGGCCTGGGAAAGGGGAATTCAGTGCTTTGGAGTCGCAGTGCCCTGAATTCCGGACCTGAGAGATTCCCAGTTCCCAAAAAGAGGTGTGGGGCAGGCCCTTATAAGAACATGGGTTCCAGCAGTGATGGCTGGGTGAGGACAGGGACCAGGTGAATGAGGGTTTTACTAGGGCACAAACTTAGGAGGCACCTGAAAACTCGGTAATCAAGACAAATGTTTTAATGTAGATATTTTTTAAATCAAATTGGCAAACCATGGCCCACAAGTCAGCTGCCTGTTTCTGTAAATAAAATTTTATTGGAACCAGGGTCAGAATTAGGGTTCACTTTCTTTTCTTCTTTTTTTTAATACTCCCCTGCAGATATTTTTCCCATTGCTTTTCAGAGAGTGGAAGGGGGGGAGAGAGAAACAGAGAAATATCAATCTGAGAGAGACACATCAATTAGTTGCCTCCCACACACACCCTGATTGGGGCCAGGAATCGAGCCTGCAACTGAGGTACATGCCCTTGGAAGAAATCGAATGTGGGACCCTTCAGTCTGCAGGCCGACGCTCTAACCACTGAACAAACCCAGCTAGGGCAGGGTTTACTTCCTTAGTTACAGCAGAGATCACACCCCACATACTTCATTAACGTAGGTGGTGCCCAAAGCCCCTCACCAGCACCTGGTGCTAGTGTGGTCAGCCCATCTAATTTAGTAAGAACATGCCTGAACAGGGCACTCACTATGCCAGGCTTGGGTAAATCCATTCTGTGGTCCATGGACTGCCCACAAGCCTCTTTTAAATATTCCAGATGTGGGCCATAACTTTTTCAGGGATGGACACATTTCATTGTCACATCACATTTCCCTGTGCCACTCACTAGGTGGGTGACCTTGGCCAAGATTTAATTTCTCTGTGTCTCTCGTGCCTCCTCTGTGAAATGGGTTAATGCATGTAAAGAACTTAAAACATCTCAACAAATGAATGCTGTTGTTAAAAATGTGGGTTTGAATCCCAGTTCTGCCACCTATTGTGACATTAGGACATAATATTTTGCATTGCTAAGTGTTTCATCTATAAAGTGGGGGTTATAAGTCCTGCCTGGGAGGGTTCAGGTGGGAATTCACACAGAGCTGCTAGTACTATTGGCTCATCACTACAAAGCACCAGCCAACCCCAGGAGGACTCTGAGAGATCTGGAGTTGCAAAGGACCCTCAGAGCTTGTGAGACACTGAACTAGGGAAGGAATCAATCTCCAGCTGCTTAGGAATGTTTGTTAACCCCTTATTTCTCATCATGGGCCACAGGCCGAGTACACAGATAAGACAATACAGTCTGCAATATCCCTCTCCCTCTCAATACCTACACGGATCATTTTTTGCTTCCCCACTGCTGCTGGCTGCCATGTCACCCACACCAATGGCTGTCAAGTGGTTTAGAGAATGCTGGCCACACCTCCACCCAGGCTACCATCACCACTGGCCCAGCCCGCTGTATAGCCTTCTCACCAATTTCTTGCTTCCACTCTTGCTCTCTTTAGTCCTTTATCTACCAGTGTAATACTTTCAAAACATGTCTCCCTGTTTAAAACCCTGAGTCGCATTCAGAATAAAGCCCAACCTTGTTACAGGCCCTTACCCACCTCTCTGATCTCATTCCCTATTCCTCCTCCTGGCTTATGCACACCAGCCCCACTGGCTTGCTGTCCCTCCAGGATGTTCCTTCACCAGCTTTTGTACATGAAGGTCCTTCTGCCTGGAACATATGCCCTGTCTCCTGGTTTTCCTGCACATCTTAGCTCCCGTGTCACTTCATAAAAGGCTTTTCCCTGACCACTCTTCCCTCCCCCCACGGTCACTCAGGATCTCAGCACCCTTCACAGCATGCATCACTGTCTGTCATGGGTACCTCCTTCATGCTTCTCAGGAGAGCAAGGACAGCCTTTGTGCTTCCCATCTCCAGTACGGGCACACAGTGAGTGCTAGGTATCTGCTGACTTAACACCTGCACGTATTCAGGTGGGGATTCACTCATTCTCCCCACATTAAGCCTTAATCAACCTTATAGTACATATGAGGATGCTGGGGAATGAGTGCTCTGTATTGTGAATACTCACTGAAAAAAACTGCCAGCCTTGGATGTTTGAAACTGTTATATACTGCCAATACACATTAAAAGACAAAGACGTCCCATAGCCAGCATTTCATTTCTTAAAAGGACCAGTGGAAAGAATATGGGCTTTGGAGGCAAGTGAAAGTACCTCTTGCTACCTGTGACACCTTGGACAAGTTCCCCCCAATTTGAGTCCGTTTCTCCATCCGTAAAATGGGGACAATACCTAATGTAGAGCTGTTTTAGATCCTGGCATAATGCCTAACATGTAGTAACCAGGGGATGATATTAGTTCTACTAGTCACCACTGCCCAGGAAGGGCCATTTCCTTTCATTCCTGGGTATCTGCCACATGGAGGGTGCTAGCTATGGTGAAGGAAACAGAAACGATCTCAGTCCCACCCGAATGTTCCCTCCAAGAGAGCAGGTGCCATATCTATCTTGCTCATGGTTGTACCCACTGCCCACCACAGTGCCAGGCACACAAAAGCACTCAAAATATTCACTTGCTAGTTGGAGCTTACAAGGAAGAAAGGTATTTTACTGTACCCTCCACACACACCTTCTTTGGGGTAAGAAACTGAGGCTGGGCAAGGTTAAATGTGAGCTATTAATGGCACTTTGCATCTAAATTCAGGTTTCCTCTACCTTCCCTTAAGTCAGGCTTTATCAAACTTCGATCATTCTCAAGCCATGTGACCATTTTCGCTCTATCTACTTACTGTGATACAAATTCACTTTTTTACCTATATAAACTAAAAGGAACTTTATATCAATCATTTGTCATAACTAGAAGATAACTATAAAAATCACAGAAAAACAAATATAAAAACAATGTGGTATAAAAGCTTTTGAAAGAGAAATTGGAGTTAAGCAGTATTTTTCATCTTTTGTTTTCACCATGATCCTCAAAAACATATTTCATACCAAAACTCACCTACCCATCTGTGTATTCATATGTATAAATAAGTCTCATAAAACAGTACTGTATTTACAATACTATATGAATGTTATTTCCTAGTCTGATTCTACTTCATTTTTAAAATGCTGGTTGCATCCCACTACACTACTTTCAAAAGGAACGTCATGAACACAACAAAGAACACTGGGTTAAAGGGCTGGTTTAGACGTACTGTCACCAAGACTTTGTTCTTGTCTCCCCAGGAATGAAGAGAATAATCTTCTCATTATGTGGGTCAATATTTTTAATGCCATGCCCATGTACCTGAGGCAGAAGCCTATCCTAGATTCATTTTGTACTCAGTTCTGTCTAGAACATGGCTTATGTACATAGTAAGCTCCTGAGAAGTCGGCTGCAGGTGATGATGACACTCAGCGAGCATGATCACAGGCAGCACTTAAAAATATCCCAACACTCTTTTTTTAGGTCAAATCCATACTCTTAGCATTCCTTCAAATTTACTTTGAAGTAAACGGCTTAACTGTCTGTGGTTGTCACACGCATTCTTCTACCCGACCATGGACCTCTTTCTTCCTCTCAGGCGCACTTCATCTAATTTCTTGAGCACTGGCTTGGCCTTTTTGGAGGAGGTGGAGTAGCTCTTCAGGAAGGCTTCAAACACACTTTCGGTATTGGGATGGGTACTAAGGAAGGCTTTCTCTAGCACATAGAGGTCAACTCCCTTATCTTCTGGAAGTGCTGAAATGAAACTCAGCCCAAAGTCTATGAGCACAATGTTCAGCTGTTCCAGGGGGGGTTTCAGGAGCATGTTGGAGGTGGTGAGATCACCATGAATGAGGTCCTCATCGTGCATTCGAGCCAAAACCTGCCCGACTGTCTTGGCTAAGCCGAGAAGACTTTGGGGAGTTTTCCCAGTCTCCATATTGGATTGGATATAATCTCGAACAGTCACTGAGCCTTCGATTTCTTCCATGAATAAGCAGTTGGAAGCATAATCCACAAAAAAGACAACTGGGGCAGATATCCCTGTAATCAAGATATAACCAGTTACTGAATTAGATTATTTTTTTTAATGGTAAACTTAACTTTCAAAGATTAATTCATTTTTTTTACAGTGTATATCTGCTTATTTCAGGAAAAGATTTAGACATGCTGTAGAATGATGCAACTTAACTCATCTGAAAGTTTCCCCTGCTCATGCTCTTTATGACTGCTCCTTAAACCACCCCAAGACTACGTTTAGTAGCGCCAAAGCTCCAACTTTCCACCCTTTATGATTGATTGGGCTTCGTTCATACTTATTTCCTAAAAAAAAACCCCCAAAACACCAGAAGGGTAAGCACAACCCAGGTAAAGCACTACCTATCTGACAAGGACACAAACAGGAGGCCAAGCAGTGTTGGCTTAGAGATAGTTCATCTTCAAAGTCGGAAAGGACAAATTCAAATCCCAGTTTCCTTCCTTATTAGTTGTGAGGAAGGAGTTAAGAAGATGAAATCAGTGCAGCTAGGTTGACTTAAAATGCAGTCTGCATAGTCAAGCTGACCAAACTGGTTCAGACCAAATGGGATGAAGAGTGGAACAGATTTTACTTCACGTTAGCCCGGGGACTTGAACTTTTGAGTTGTGCATCAATGCCTGGAGAGATATACAAATACTATAGATAATCCCCTGAAGAATTTAGGAAAGAATATTCATGGATCTAGACTGCCTGACATTCATTATGCAGGCCATCACTAATCTAGAGGACTACCATCTCAGACAAATCCAGAGGCTAAGAATACAGGGCTGTGTCTTCTCAAAAATGTACTTTTTACTATAAGAACTCTCAACTTTTCTCTTTTTGGAAAGCTCTGGGCATTACCTGGTAGTGATTCCAATTTGCAAATTCTAAGACCCTTGAATAAAACTTCGTCATTTTCAATTTTAGTAAAGCCTCCTGATTCATTTACACTTGGTCTACACTTAAAAATCCCATCAACTTCTCTACACTTCCATTTCTGCTTCCATAGCATGAGAGTAAGACTTCCAAAGATTTAACGAATCTTTACTGAATGTCAGTCATACTCAGGGCACTTTTCTAGATACTGGGAACATATTGGGGGGTGGGGTTCCGGAGGAAATAAGGCAGCCACAGTCCCTGCTTAATGAAACTTATATCCTAGAGAGGGTGCAAAAGAAAATACAAACACACAAATAACTTCATTAAATCCAAGCAAGGGCAGAGATACACGTGCTTGATCACTGAATTTCCTCCAGATCTCCCAGTACCTAACAATGTTCTGTTGTACACAGGTGCCTAAAAAATATCAATGTAAGAAAGAAAGGTAGGAAGTGTAAAAGTGAAAAGCCAGTTTTTCTGAGTCAGAGGGCTATGAGCTGAGAGCCTGGCTGGGTCACTAACTAGCTGTGTAACTTTGAGCAAGTTACTTCCCCTCTCTCAGTTTCTCACCTGAGAACAAGTTTATGGTGATGGTGCACAGTAGTGGTTTAATGAAAAGAAAAAAAATTAGCGATTTAATGAAATCTAATTTTATTAAGCTCTACGTGCCAGTCACACACTCAAAAGTAATACATGGCATACATCCCTCATCCAATGGTCCCAAAATCCTTATGAGATTAATGCTGCAACTGTGAAGTCCCTTTACAGGTGAGGACACAGGCAGAGAGGTTAAACACGTGTTGAATGGCTACAGTGGTGTCGGTGTTTGAACCCCCAGAGCCCGGCTCCAGGGCAAGCACGCCTGCTTCTTAAAAGTAATGAAGAGATCATGTTAAAACGCTGAGACTGAGGGCGGTTAAATAACGTGCTCCACGTGGAGCAACAGTGGCGGAGCCTGGAACGGAACCAGGCTCAATGGCTCCAGGACAAAAGTTCGTCGCTTCAAGGCCAAGCGGCTCCTTAAGATTTAATGAATGAAGAGAGGTATGAAAAGATGACATTTCTTAAATACCCAAGTCCACGCAGAAGGCAAGCG